TCTATCTAACCTCACACACCCCCTGAGACGAAGTGCTCGCAACGGCACTGAGTATACATCTTTTGAAAACAGGCGAGGGGTTATTGCATGCATGTATTTCTAGTTTAGTAAATAATATTCACAGTTGTTTATTATTGGATCTTCCATATTTGCGTTGTTTTCAGATAATGCAATATTATTAAAACGAGAGTCGAAAGGGTTAAATTTCAAATGCCTTAGCCTATCCATATCGTTTTCACTGATATTTTTCCTTTAATCGTCAAGTGTTTGAAATGGTATAGTATCAGATAAACAATTTCGACACATGTCAATAGTGTTATTTGTAATGGAGTCAAATGACTTTGCGCAAGCAGACACAGCGTGAAACAATGTTTCACATGTGAGTCATTCAATATATTTTTGTGTTTCTTGAATTATTTTGAAGCAGGAATAGCATTTTTTCTTGTGCTGATTTTTATGAGAAGCCATTTAGAAAGTAGTTTTGTCAAATGTTAAATTAGATTTTCAAAACACACAATAGACATGATATATGAAGTATTAACGTGCATTAGTACTATTAAACACTGTTATTATACATTTAATATGTATTCTCGTTTCTAATTGGTCAGAAAGCACCGGCTAATTTTCAGTATTCGGCATTTATTACGTATTTTTCGCCGATGACGTCATCAGCGTCCAATAATTGTTTTTTTGGATCGAACTTGCATCCAAAAAAAAAATTATTGGACTCTCTCGTGCCCAAACCCTTGCGCGGCCAAAAGCTTGAACCAAAAAGCGCGCGAAAAAAACAAACAAACAATGGCCGACAGCAGATTTGCTTCGCTGAATGAAAGTGAACTCTCCGAATTATTGGCAGATAAGGATAGTGAAAGCAAGACAAAAGCCACAAAGGGGTAAATAGAAGTAGAAATAGAATATTTAGCTGACCTTTGACTTTGTGCAAGGTGTTTGATATTCAAATTGTACTTGTCCTACCTCATGAACAGGAATCGTTTTATACGTTTCTCATGTCTTTAAATGTATAATAAAACAATTATTGGATTCGGCTTTCGCATGATATCAAGAATTATTCAGACCTCGGTCTATGTTATCCGCCTCAGCTTCGCTTCGGCAGATAACATTGACCTCGGTCTGAATAATTCTTGATATCATGCTCAGCCTCATCCAATAATTGCTTATTATTTTCAGGGAGTTAAAATAACTACCCTATTACTCCTTTTTAGTGGAGTTAAAATTTTAGGGCTACGTTAACCCCATTTCAGGAGTTAAAGTAACTCTCATTGAGGAGTAAGGGGTACGGGCGAACTAATTAGTATGCAAAATTAACTCTTGATGGTGGAGTTATTCAGATATAACTCCATTTATTGGAGTTATTTGTTATAAAAGGCAAACAAAATGGCGTCGTTTTTTCGGGTTTTTTAATAGTTTTAACTCGCTCAGATTGCTTTCTTTCTACTGCACTCAAGAAAAAACCCCGTGAAAATTATACAGAAGGGAGGTGAGAACTGCATTATTCATGTTTCAGGTAAGTGAACATATTTTACTTCGTGTTTAATATAAATATTCAGATGAGAGGAGTGACATTTTTGGTCACAGCAGCTCAATGACGCAGTGTTTTATTACAACTTATTTTTATTATTATGTGGTGATGTGTTGTATCATATTAAATTTAAACATAGCAAGTACAAATTGTACACATTGTACTTGTCATACAGTACAATACAATCCACTATTCACTGAAGGGCTTGAATCCGGGTTTTTCCATTAATTTAGTTTATTGTACGATCATCCAGATTAAATTTCTTTAATTATTTCTGACGTTTCGGTTACCTACACGGCGGCCATTATCAAAGACATATTACAGTTACAAAAAATTTTTTACAGTTATAATAATTTTATCTTGCGTCAAAAATGACGTGCGCGTGTTCGTGATGTTGTTTGCTCGCGCCTGCGTTCAAGGCATTCGAGCCTGCGTTCATGCGTGATTAGTCCAGCGTATGCTCCTGGCATATCGCGGCAAATGTTAATGCTGTTTTCATCGCATTTTGTAAACCAGCTTTCTAAGAACATTCTCTCATCCTCAAAACTATTAAACTCCATACAAGTGGCTCCCTCCCAATCAATTTTATGATTTGTTTCCATACAATGAACCGCAATTCTATTCGCCACGTCTTGTTTCTCTGTTGATCGCTTATGTTCTTTAATGCGACAATCTAGAGTACGTCCAGCTTCACCGAAATAAGTTGCGGGGCATTCAGCGCAGGTCACTTTCTAAACTGATCCTATCCGGGTCTTTGTATTGGTTGGATCTTTCACTTTCATCAAGGTATTTCTTAGCGTTACCGTTGGTTTGTGAGCCACACTAATGTTGAAAGGTCGTAGGATTCTTGCAATTCTTTCGGATGTACCTTTGATGTAAGGGATGGTGGCAATGGTCTTCTTCCGTTCAGTTTCGTCGGTAGTTGGTGTTGTTTTCCGGGAATGTTCAATTACGCTGTTCACAAAAGGTTTAGAATATTTGTTGATGGTAAAAACTCTATCAAGGTGCTGCAACTCATCTTCGAGGGTTTCACTAGAACTGCAAACTGCATGCGCTCTCTTCACTAAGGTTGCTATTGTAGCTGACTTGTGCGAGGTTGGGTGGTAGGATGAATTATCTAATAAACGGCTGGTGCTGGTGGGTTTTCGATAGACACTCGTTTGAAGGGAATTGCCGTCTCTGGTTATCATGCAGTCTAGGAAAGCTATCTTACCATCTTTCTCAGGTTCCATGGTGAACTGTAGACTGGGGTTTTGCTTGTTGAGGTGGTCAAGAAAGTCGTTTTTCTGATGTTTATCGACACTCGTCAAGGTATCGTCGACGTAGCGAAACCAAAAAGGTGGTGGGTTTGGGTATGAGGATAATGCTCGTTCTTCTAACCGTTGCATTACAATCTCTGCTACGACTACGGAAACTGGAGATCCCATTGCTGTGCCATGAAGTTGTTGGTAGAAACTTCCGTTGTACTGAAAAAATGTAGACTCTAAACATAATTTGAGTAGGTCTATGATCTCTTCCTTCGGGATTGGAAGTTCATCATCATAGTTAGCTAAGGATTCTTCCATGCACTCAATTGCTAGTTTTAATGGAATACTTGTGAATAAAGATTTAACATCAAAGGAGACCAGTTCATGAATGGCACTGATCGTCTCTGCTTGAATTTTCGTTATGAAATCTGCGGAATTCACGAGGCGGTGTTCGGAGCGTTCTGTTAAAAAGGCTTCGAAATGCGTGCAAGATATTTTGAAAGTTCATATGTTGGTGATGAACAAAACGACACGATTGGTCTCATAGGTGTATTCTCCTTGTGAATTTTAGGCAAACCATACAGTTTTGGAGCTTGCGCAACCGAACAACGATGTTTTGAGTACAAAGGTTTCTTTATAATGTTTGCTAAATGTAACGGCCAAAGTTTTTGATTTAGGTTACGTTGTAATTTCTTTGATGGATCGCTCTTAAGTTTTTTGTAAGTGTTCCCGTCATTCACCAAAGTATCCATTTTTTATGGTACTCAGATTTATCCATCACTACGGTTAACACGACCTTTATCGGCTGGTGTAATAACAATCGAATCGTCCTATATATATATCGAGAAAATCTTTCTGCGGAAGCGAAAGAAACAGTTCGGGCTAAGGTTGCGTCAACTCTTCAAAAGAGTCAAAAACCAGTAAGCAATTTA